TACTTCCAGTGAGTATTTGTGGTTGCGGGTTTGAAATCGTTGATCATTGCCAGAAACACAATCGGCCCTAACAGTGTTCCCTGTGCTACTCCACATGTAAGGGGCTCCCAGTCCGACAGTGCTCCTTGGTAACGGACACGCTGTCTGCGTCCTGACACGAAACTGCACAACCAAGGGATGAGAGATGGTCTAGTTCCCATGTTGATAAGTTTAGTGATGGCAGTATTGTGACACACGCGATCAAACGCCTTGGAAAAATCTGTAAGTATCAAGGTGCCCACTGATGATTTCATTTCAGATCCCACAAAGAAGAAGTTTAACAAGTCGATGAGACAATGTGTTGTCGAACATCCTTTAGAGTTGCCAAACTGTTTCGGGTCTATTTGAGACGAGATGTCAGACAAAATCCACGACGAGATGAAGCCTTCACAGACTTTCGCGAACTGCGCCGTGAGAGAGACTGGACGAGTTGTTTGGAATAGCAGATATTCAGTCTAGTCCACCTGACTGCGCAATAGCTATGCTGTAAACAGGACTGTGCACACCTTCCTGGGATGCATCAGACTAATGAAACAAACAAACAAACAAACAAACCTTCCTGGGCTGCATCAGACTTATGAAACAACAAACAACAAACCTTCCTTGGCTGCACGGAGAGCCAGGTGGTCTCCTTGAGCTGGTCGATCTGCTCCCAGACCTTCGACAGTAAGTCGGTGGGCTGTCTTCGTCGTTGAGCGCCGTGTCCGGATGGCCTCCTTGGGGAGTCAGACATACGGGGTCAGTTTCAACATTTCCACTGAGGTTCCTTTAAGTCCTATGCCATTGGTATGTAGTTCATATCAATACAGAAGAGTTTATAGTTTCTTGTCAGGAGAGTCTATCTGTTCCCACCGATGCATAATCTCCCTCCCCTTGTCCTATAATTGGTCATGTCCTTGGTATTGAAATGGACAATCCATTGGTTATACTACCAGCGACGTCTCAAAAATATGCATTAACATCAGTATCAAAACTGCTAGGCAGATTTAAGGCCGATCCTCTACCTTCTGTGGTCGGGAGGGGCATCCAGCACCGACAGCACGCGACTCAGCCTTCACACAGAACGCATGTTTAAATTTGTTAGATCTCAGTAATGAATTCTGGAGTCCTTTCTTCAGTATTACCAGTACCAACAATGCAGAATATCTTCATTGAAGTTCAGGAAGGTAAACATCATTAAACATAATGTATACAAATCAAGACCTTGTTTGCATAATTTATGTGGAAATAATAGAATGGCACTGTTTGTTAATATAATACCTATAGTCTTTTTGGTTGAGAATATGATAAAGTGATATAATTCATGGAAATGAGGATCCTATCAGCACAATCAGGGGGAATAATCTATAATTTGTCAGCCATAAAGATTAACATCATTTGGCAAAGGTATGAGATTGGGGAACTCTAGTTACTCCGTGAAGGAGGTCAGGACCTCCGGACGGAGTGTTGTGAACGGCTGGTTTTTCATGTTCGCAGTCAAAACACTGGGTTCTCTTTGTGTAATCGGCACGCAATTTTATACGCTGTCTGCGGGCATGCCCGTGTTGATGCATGAATGTGTATTTTTGCCGTTGCTGCTTTCGCGGTCAATGTAATATTGCAGATGCACCCCTACAATTACGAGGCGAATTGGAATGGTCCAGAAAAATGAGTTGTTTGGAATAGCAGTGGGGGGGTGGAACTTCATGCAGACATGCGGAGGGTCGATAAGTGGTACCATAGATGTTCGCAGCCAAAACGCATTGTTCCGTACGTAGCATTTCTGTGTAATTTGGCATGTGGTGTGCCATTATGCCCGTGGTGATGCACGTCTTTTTATTTTTACCCTAGTAGTTTTGATATTGGAGTAAATGCTTATTTTTGAAACATCCCTATAATGTCGTTGAAATGGTTTTGCCCGGGTATCTGACCGGCGGCAGTAACACTCGCGCGTGCTGGCCACATGGCCAGTCGCGCTTAATAAGTAACAGGCACGGTAAGACGGTGGGGCTTTCTTTGTTACAAGTGACACGACCATGATAGATAATGATAGTCCGATCTTTATGTGAATGCAAAGATTGTGTGTGTGTAATTAAAATGAACTTCGAACTTGAAGCACAGTATCTTTACACGCCCTCTAGCTAGGAGCAATAATGGATTTGGGTCTTTTTATGTTTTATCATTGTGACGCGCCCTCATTGTATTAACCGTTGCCTAAGGTCTGGCGTTGACGCTTGGGATTATTTTTGTTGCAAAATATAAAATTTCACGGAGGATTGTCACCTATGGCTTCTTGTTGTTCTTACAATGTTTGGCATTTTGGGTGGCGTTGATACTCTCACTGTATCTGCCTTTCTCTTCTTCTGAAGTACAGTAATGATAGCTAAACAACATTGCTTGCAGATCGAAGCATTCCATTCACAAACCGCGGTCTAGCCGTGGCGACTCTAGCAGGGCCTCTTTTGCTTGTTTTGTATTATACAATGGCCCTACAGAGTCGTGGATGCCCCCATTGGGAAATATCAACTTTAGCCGACTGTATTAGGACGGTACCTTTACGCCCAGCTTTCTGGGTGTTGCTAGCTTCCCAACACTCTAACTCACTAGGACGGGGGGTTTCCGGCCTTCTTAACCCAAGTCAGAGCCCGCGCGGCGACCATTTCCGATCAATACCAATGCTTAAGCTCACTCGGGAATCAACAAAAATTCTGGTTTCATAAGTATAATATATAGCGTTTATTTACAAAATACATAATATACTCAATTCTTTTGGTAAAATAACATGACATTGTAATGCAATAAAAATGAATTACCTTTCATGGCGAGTGTATTCATACCCCTGGTAGTCGGTCAATACTGGTTGTTTATGGGTAGTCCCAACAGGGTTAATGGTGTACCCTATGGATGGGACAAAAAATGTAAGTCAGTCATGTATCATTGTCATGTATCGTAACATCGTTATAAATTTATGCAAAACGCCAACAAAAATGGCGTTCAACAAAGAGGGTTATTTTCCTGTAAAAAATGAAAGCATGGCATCTTCAGCAAATTAGTGCTAAAGTATGGCAAAACCCTGCAAAATGTATAGATTTAGTACACAGTCAGATCAAGAGTTACATGCACACTGCCATCCTAGCTGTTATCATTACCCTATCTTGCTGAGGGCCCCCCCCCCCCCAGCTACGGGCATGAAATGTAAGCCTGCATCAACAAGAGTCGCCACGGCTAACAGCCATCCCAAAATATCATGGCGCAAGAAAATTAAAAACTTTCTCCGGCCATTCCTTAGCTTCCAAACACCCACTACTGTTAAATTTTATGTAATGCCACATGTTGTAGGCTACGAAGCGAATGAATAATCGCAAAGGTCACTGGCAGCACAAACATGGAAACGTTCAGGAAAACGAGAAGGCCACAAAAATACATGACTCACTCCACTGACTCACTCCTCTCCAACTAATGCTTTGTTTATTCTTACTCAAACACACTCATAATACCTTCAGTCATCTTGACTACTGCAGCTGAAAGAAAAACAACCCATATCATTGTAATAAGAACATCACTATGCAGTCACATGGTTACCTTACTATAGCCTCCTTCGCAGTCTTGTTGGGCGTCGGCGTTATTTTTTCTCTGAGCGACGCGAGTAATGCGGCCGCGAGGGACGATTTGCTGCCGAGGGAGTTTTGCCACGGAGAGAAGGTTTCGCGCTCCAACAAGACTGCTTGCAGTCGGCGACTAGAAAGGGCTATCAAAAAACACTTAGGAGCGATTAGCATGGATGTGTGAACTTCCCGCAATAAACGCCACCAGTGCAGGGAGGTGTTCACGCCCCGTTGCTTGACGAGCCAAAACCTGCAACTCCTAGCGGTCGCCGATCAACCCGTCGGTAGAACGCCAACCATTCCCGAAAACAGAGCCCTATCCACTCAACAAAATCCCGTAGTCATTGCTGCTACGAAAAACAACTTTAAACAGATCACTACCAAAGGAACCTGCAAGCTAAACGATATTACTGGGGGACACATAAACAAAGTGCCGCCATGTTGTTTGGTGCCGGGTTGATCTCACTGGTCATGGGAGGGTAACGCACCGCTCCGCAGCAAGTTGCGTAATAGAAAGAATGGCACATTTCACCAGCAAAAATAGTACTGCAAAGTTTGTCTTGGTCTGTTTGCATGGGATACTTAATAAGTATGCACAGCAATGCCTTTGTTGGAACATTACCAATGTTCATTATTTCTCTGTTGGAACCTTCCACTATAACGCAAGATAATAAAACCAACCGTTGACAAAGGCGAGCGCGTGTCAGCCTTCTCCATGCGTATTTATGAATTACCCTTGCGCGAACATGTGAATTGGACCTGCGCGAACATGTGAATTGCCCCTGCACGAACATGTTAATAGCCTCTATGAAAGGCTGGCTTAATCCGAGGTCCTTTCTAGTCACCAACTGAAAGCAGTCTTGTTGGAGCGCGAAACCTTCTCTCCGTGGCAAAACTCCCTCGGCAGCAAATCGTCCCTCGTGGCCGCATATTACTCGCGTCGCTCAGAGAAAAAATAACGCCGACGCCCAACAAGACTGCGAAGGAGGCTAACCATACTAGAACATCAGACTCACAGACCATCCGCCTTCCTAAACCTCGAACAAATGCACAGAAAAGAAGATTTTTGTATAGAATGTCCAGTGCCTGGAATGAAATGAAGTTGTGATGATGTACATGTATATAGCTTTATTTTAATCTGTTTTAATATGTTGTAATTGCCATGTATTTGTGTTTTGTAAATATGTCATGTGTGTCTTTGAAGGACCACAGGAAGAATTATTCATTTGTTGTAAGCTAAATGTGGATCCCAATAAAGTCAAAGTCAAGTCAAAGTAGACTGCAGAGAAACAAGAAGGAATTGAAATTTTCAATTAATAATGAAGCATAATGTTTACCTTCACACAGTCTAGACTAAAAACTATTTCTCTGTTTTGGAATGAAAGCTCATCTATGTTGGACCAAAAATTTTGACATCCTCCGCAGACTCCAAATCTAATGCGAGCGGGCGGAAAAAAACACTGGAAGGCAGAAGAAAAGTGTCCAGACTATGCATGATGTACAAAATGACTAGTTGGTGGATGTCCCAACTACTTAGTACCTAATACCAGCCCAGAAGAGAACAAGAAATAGTCATGCCTTCAAGTAGTACCAGAGTTATCAACCTAGGATTGAGGTGTTCAAGAATTCATTCTTTCCTAGAAGTATCGCAGAGTGGAACTCGCTGTCACCTAGTACAGTAGTGGCATTGTCATTAGATAGCTTTAAACAATGTCTAGAATTAGATGTTCAAGGGTTAGGTGTAACAAGTCGGTGTAATGTAGCCAGCTGCCGCCTTGCCGCATTATACACCACTTGTAAGTTAAGTGGAGGTACCTGGTTTCTTTCCAGAGCCTCCTTTACCCAGGCTGGCTGTGGAAGCAAAAACAAGTTTCAAATCTTTTTTTGATCAATTGTCACGTATCAGTAAAATCTCATGTGAATAAGGTCACGTGTTTGTAAACCATAATTCTCGCAAGATCACATTGTGAAGTGATTGGTCATTAATTATCCTGATGAAGGCGACAGTGGTCGCTGAAAATTTGATCCCTGTACAATTATGTGTTGGAATAAAGTTCAACCTTTAATTTTTACTATAAGTTTCAAATCTATGTATCAAATTTATCAAAGACACATAGTATTACCACCGTGAGTACTGAATCTAGTCACTGAAGAAGTAACTAAAATCCATGTTACCTGGTCTCAGTTGCTTGAGTAACTGTTTTCTGGCGTAACTTTAGGGGTTAGTTAGGTGGTGTTTTTGGGTCTTGACAATGTTCCAACTCAAACACTTCAACAATTCTAATATGTAAGTTTTTATGTGAATTCTGAGTTGGAACACAGACTCCACAAGATCAGTTCTCACCATTAGGAATGCTATCCAGCACTACAGGGTCTACTGCACTCTCTGTGAGGAAAGATTATCAACCAATCATCAGGGTGCATGTTAACCACCACCAGCACCACAGCAGTCTTCTATAATTATTGCAGTTTTGATTATGATTGTATCAGTACAATTGTGCTTGCATAAAAAGTTATTAACAAAAACAGTTGCATAAGGCAATTTTTCTTCTAAAAACTATGAGGCAAAATCTGAAGCTGACCTCATGCAAAATATATCTCCATCTAGCCTAGACATTCAATCTTATATTATTCAAACTGGGGTGCCTGAAACTTGCAAAGTCAGCTGATACCTTAACCCATCAACAGAAATATAAAGATACAGAATGGAAAATCATGTGTTTGGCCATATAAATTTAAACCCATCTAGAGAGAAGTATTTATGGAAAACTCAGTAAACAGACTATACTAGTACTTGTTTTCAAGCAGTGACCAGTGACGTCCTCCTCCTTTGGAGCCTTGGTCTGAGGCGGCTGCTGCACGGCCTGCTGGGATTGCTGCTGCTGCTGCTTCTTCTTCTTCTTCTTCTTTTTGTTGTTCGACTGAAGAAAACAGACATTTATAGGAGAAAAATCAATGTACAAGAGACCCTCGGTGTTTGAAGAAGGACAATGCTTACAGGTGATCTAAACATAGTACAGTAACAATTTCTTTAACATTGGCAGTGGTCGAAATACTTTTTTTCAGTGCTCTGCAATATTGCAGAAGAGTAAAAATTTTGTTCTGCAATTTGGAAATACTTTCTGCAAATACACAAGCCTCCATACTACAATCTTGCAGGTTTATAAGGCCTAGGAAAAAAAATGTTGTGTTCCGGTTACCCGACCGACCCTATGAGAAAACCCCCGACCCTAGCCTTTTTTGGGCCGACCAAAAATTTTGAAGTCTACCGTATGACTCAGTGCTTTTAGGATCTTGTCACCTCCTTCTCAGCTAGTAGATGTACATACATGTGTCATATCAAAACTCAACATCTGAATACTGCTTTGATCACTGCTAGTGTGGCACGCTTACATACCTGAATGTGGATTTAACAGTAAGAACTTGCTTCCAAGGAAAGAACGACACATACATGTCGAGGAATGAAAATAATAAAAAGGTACTTCAGAACATTGAGCCCACTTAAAAATTTTTGAGGTTATTTTGTCTTGACTTGTGACAGTGAACCAAAAAGTATTACAAACCTTCATACACTCCGGGTTCTGGCAGCGGAAAACTTTGTCTCCCTCCGCAAGGATAGCATAGTCACAGCTGGGGCACCTGTAACACAATCTGAGAGTTAGTATGCTAAACTTTAATTTAACACAAAGGGTACACAAGGATCAAATTTTCAATGACCACTACTGCCTTCATCAGGATAATTAATGACCAGTAACTTCCAGGCATAAACCTAGTTTCCTTCAAAATAAAATGGAGGAAAGTCAAGTAATCCTTTTAGCCCTTTGTAAGGGTACGAAAAGTGTTCCTCAACTCAGAAACTCTAACATGTCTTCCAAACACATGTACACAGGTATGTGTGTGCCTTCATGTAACCATGGTGACTGTTGCCGTGGTGATGACCTTACCGTACGAGGTCGTCCAGCCCTGCCAGGTTGATGTTCTCCTCCTCCAGCCTCTCCTCATACTTCTTCAGCATGTTCTCAGGAAGGGCCTTCTCCAGCTGACCTGGGGGTAAAGGTAAAAAGTCAATGGTCAACTTCATGACCTTACAGCCAAGGTCAACATATTGACCTTTGGATATTTTTTTTGAAGCATGTAACAGCTAAAGAGAAACAATGCTTTCCACAATGAGCACATTAAAGTGTGGAAAGAATTTTCTTGTGGAGAAATATATTTGATGAAACATTGAACAATTGTTCAGTGTTCTAGCTAGCATAGATTGAGTGTTGGGGCCTCCTGCACTGTGATATAACTGTGCTTCAACCAGTACAGGTGTTTTTTGGGGGAGAACCATGTAACTGTTCATATAGCTTTCAAAAATGAAGATCAAAATTGGGTAAAAACCATTACACAATTTTCTTGGTTGAAAAAAACTAACTGGTAAAGACCAGGGAGAAACTAGGACCACCAATGTGTTGATATGAAGAAGGAAAGGCTTTACTTCTGCAGACAGGTGCCTTCTCTACACGTGTGGCTGTGAGTTGTAACTTACCCATGGGAAATGTGCTGTCACAGCCGTCAGTCATGCAGCTCAGGGATGCCTGCAGGGAGCGACACATGTCAATCATCCCCAAACTTTTCTTTCTATGGGACAATCCTGGCACATGTAGTATGTTTCACACATAAACACCACTCTCCCCAACCCGTCAACATGCCCTCCCCCTAAAGGAAAGTAGTACAAGACAGATTTTCTGATACTTTGAGGCTAAGATTATGCTGCATTTTGCCTGTGTACCACTATACATCTTGACATACATAAACCTAGTAGGTAAATATTTGGGTGCACAGGTGCACCCATGGAAAAAAAAATGGGTGCACAGCTCCAAAATTTGGGGCACCAAGGTGCACATGCACCCAGTATTTCCAGCCTACTCTTCTTACCTGTCCTGAACCAAAGACCTTCTCCTTGGTGTAGTTCTTGAGGCAGTCCACACAGAACAGGTGTCCGTCGTAACACTGGACCATGTCCTCAAATGCAACAACTCCCTCCCAAACCTACCAACATGCCAAAAAACCATCACGACCCCTTTTCTTACCTGTCCTGAACCAAAGACCTTCTCCTTGGTGTAGTTCTTGAGGCAGTCGACACAGAAGAGGTGCCCGTCGTAACACTGGACCATGTCCTCAAACGTGACCTCGCCATAGCAGCAGCCGCACTCAATCATCTGCCCCGCCGTCTCATACTGTTCCTCATTCAGACGCAGGGCTAGGAGGTGGTCCGCTTCCTAAGAAGGGGAGAGAAAGTTAGTATCTATTGAAAACGATAAACTCAAGGTAACATTTACAAACAAATGCATATGTCCACCTTCATATGGTCTGGCCTAACAAACGACTTCTTACTCAAACATATTCATATTCTAGTTACTGTACATGTATATCGTGACAAGCCCTTTCCAGCTTTGTCCTGCTACAAAATGTAACCCAACACCACAGGGTGTCTTCTGCAGCACCAGTTACCATGGTGACAGACATATAGTCCAGGTCAATGACCTTATGTGTTTGGAGAAGAAGAAGAAACTGAGCCTTCAGCGAAGGTAAACATATAGATTTGG